GTGGATTCGATTTTGGCATCGTGGATCGATTGACCAAGAGCACTCATTTTATTCCGATTCAGGAGAGTATCTCTGCGGAGAAGTTGGCCGATATATACATCAGGGAGGTTGTGGCACGTCATGGGGTGCCGGTTTTAGTGGTTTCAGACAGGGATGTTCGACTTACTTCCAAGTTTTGGAAGAGGTTTCATGAGGAGTTGGGTACTCGTCTGCACTTCAGCATGGCCTTCCACCCGCAGAGTGAACGGACTATCCAGAACTTGGAGGATATGCTCTTGGCATGTGTATTGGATTTCGGTGGGAGTTGGGATACGTATCTCCCTTTGGCGGAGTTTTCGTATAACAACAGTTATCACGTCAGCATCCATCGACCTCCTTTTAAGATGCTCTATGGGAGGAAATGCAGAACCCCAATATGCTAGGGTGAGGTCGTTCAGCAAGTCATGAGGAGTACCGAATTGGTACTCAAGACTACCGAGTTGATTCAGCAGGTTCAGAGTAGACTTCAGACAGCACAGAGTCGGCAGAAGAGCTATGCCGACAAGCGTCAATCAGACCTACAGTTCTAGGTTGGGGATATGGTTCTCTAGAAGGTATCTCCTTGGAAAGGTGTCATCCGATTCAGGAAGAGGGGCAAGTTGGGCCCCAGGTACATCGGTCCTTTCAGGGTTTTGGCCCTGGGTGGGCAGGTTGCTTATCGCTTGGATCTTCCCGAGAAGCTTAGTCAGATCCATAACACGTTTCACGTCTCTCAACTGCGGAAATGTTTGGTCAATGATTCCGCAGTGGTTCCATTAGAGGATATTCAGGTGTATGATTGTGTGAATTATATCGAGAGACCAGTGACGATTCTTGATCAGAAGACGAAAGCCTTGAGGAACAAGGTTGTCGAGTTGGTGAAGGTGCAGTGGCAGCACCGGAAGGGGTCTAAGTGGACGTGGAAGCCTAAGGATGAGATGAGGGAGCACTACCTAGAGTTATTTGTGGTAGCAGACTTCGAGGACGAAGCCTGATTCAAGTGGGGGAGAGTTGTAACACCCGATTCGAGGTATTTTCATTTTTTAACCTTGGTATGTTAATACTTTGCAGATTTGGTCCCTAAGGGGCAGTTTTACCATTCCCGACAAACTTTTAGTATGCAGGGCGTACGCATGCAGGGGACAAACCCTAAATTTAGGGTTTGGACCCTATTTAAACAACATTATGAACCTTGGATCTCTCATTTCTCAGCTTCCAAAGCCCTTTGAGTCACATTTCGAAACCCTAACCCTTTTTGAAGAGATTTGACCCCTCTTGTGTGTGTTTTAGTGTGTGTTTGTGAGACTTGAAGAAGAAGAACTTGGAAGAAGGAGCCTTGATCAAAGGAGAGCTTGTAGATCCAGATTTCTCACATCATTTCCAGCTTCATTGAGGTATAAAGCTTGGAACTTGCTCCTTGTTTGCTTAGATCTAGTCTTTATGAAGTTTTGGTCCCATTTTGGTTATATGATGAGATCTAGTGGATTCCTTCCACTCTAGAAGTTTAGAGTTGCTTTTCTTGATGTTTCTGAGGTCCTAAGTCCATAAAGTTAGCATCTTGATGGTTGTGGATCAACCATGTATGAGTTTAGGTCATTATGGTGAAAGTAGAATGCTAAAAGTGAGGTTTGGGTCCTTTTGAGCCATGCAAAGGCTCCAAGTTCATGACTTTATGGCTTAAGACGTTTGATAAGACTTGGATATGAAGTTTGGGCTTTTGGTTGCAAGTATTAAGCACTTAATGGAAAAGTGCTTAATGGGCACGTATGTTGGGCGTATGTATGTGTACGTTGCATGTATGCTACCCGATCCCTGATCATGGCTCGCTTGGTAGTACGCTGGGTGTACCCAACTCGTACGCAGTGCATACTAGGAATCCTTATAGAACATTGGGCGTAAGCCTGAGTACGTCGGGCGTACTCAGCCGTCGTTGACTTCGGTTGACTTTCTCGGTTTCGGCCGCTTTTGGGCTAGAAGAGTTTTAGGCCCTATTGGGACATTAGCCTTCTGATTTTGGGCCATGACTAGGCCTTGGGCTTTATTGGAATTAGGCCCATGATGGGTTTTGAGCCCAATTAATAAGTTGGGCCTTAGTGGGCTTTTTGGTGCTATTGGATTGGGCCTCGGATTTTAGGCCAAGTTAGGAGGGGGTAAAATGGTCTTTTACCCTGAGTGTTGGACAATTAGACTAGGATTCCAGTTTTGGGTTGTAACCCAATTATTGATTAGATATTATTTGGTGGTGTTAGCGCGGGGATTTTTCCGGATCAACAATCCGAGTATTTATCTAAGAGATTCATCAGTTTGAGGTGAGTTTCCTCACTATGCTTGGCGGGTCAAAGGCACCAATGTCGACCCATGGTTTATTATGATTAGGATGATAGTTGTCTGTGTGACTCTTGCATATATGATATTTGATATGTATACCGAGCGGTCCCGATGCTAGGCATGGCTTGATGAGAATATTGTATGTTATTTATCTTTGTGATTTTTGCATATGTTTATTTGTTTATATGTATATCGGGCGAGGCCCGATGCCAGGCAGGGCCTGATGAATGTGATGAGGCGGGGCCCATCTCATATTCCTGACAGATCTGTTTCGAGCGGGGCTCAATGTCGGGCGGGACCCGTTATATGTTTGATATGCATGGAATGTGGTATTTTGGGGAACTCACTAAGCTTCGTGCTTACGGTTTTCAGTTTATGTTTCAGGTACCTCCGGATCCAAGGTGAAGAGCTCGGGTGATCGCATCGCACACACCATGTTGTTCCGCATTTTACTTTAATCTGATGTATTTGGATGTTTTGATCATACTTGATTCTATTATGGTTTTATGAACATGTTTTGAAAGGTTGTTTTTTTTATTCTAAAAAAAGAAATTTTTAGTCTTAATTTTGGGACGTTACAACTTTATTACATAATCGAAACCGAAAAAAAAAGAATATGTAATCATATAGATAACAATCTTCAATAACATGAAAATGCATATGTATTCACCAAGATCTAACATAATTGAAAATGCATATGTAATCACCAAGATGTAAGATAATCGAAAATGCGTATGTAATCATCAAGATCAAATAAAATCTACCGAAAAGAAAAGCAAAAGCAACAGACAATTCCAAAAAAGTTAGGATTTTTATCACAAAAAAAAAAAGATTTTCCAAACCAAAAAGCGAGATTAAAACACTAAACTTTCTTGCATTATGGAATGTAGCTAGATCGGAGCTTACCATACTATTTTGGCAATTCCAAGAATGCCTACATGGATTTATAGGCGCCAACAGGTTCATTCCATAGATAGAACATCACAATCACAGATCTTCACACATCTCGAAAATGGATGTGAGCAAGTGGTAGCCGATTCCTGGTCATCGACGAGCTGGAAGACATTGTTCTTGAAGAGGGTTTGATGGAAGCTTCTTGGTTTGAGTTTGCATGATGAAGTTAAGAAAGAAGTAAGAAGCGGTCCAAATGAGGGCTTCATTTATTAACATGGTTGGTCCGATTGAGCTTCCTTGACATGTCAGTCCTCCTTATAAGTGGTCCCCATAAGCATATTTGACACGTCAGTCTTCCACGTAGGAATGGTAATCAGGTAACCTTTTGAAATCAAGAATAATGGTTTAATTGATAGGTAAATAATGAGTTTAATAGTGTATTGCACAAAAAAAATGTTAGTGACTAAATCGGACAAATGAAAAAAGTTTAATATGCTACAATGATATTTTCCCTTCAAAAACAATGGCCTTAAACTTTTTCCATAAACATAAATGACTAGGACCTTTATTGGATTCTATAATTACCACAGACGATGCTTGATTGGAAGAAACAACATATCAATGACCTTGAAGAACACAACAAGGACGCCCAAGAGTGCATGAACGTTATTGCATTCAGGGAGCAACATTTTGAAAAAAGAGTTGAAGAGGAAGGGTTGGGGGAATGGATAAATGAAGCCAAACAAATATGTTGGACCTTTTAGTTCTTTTGTACAAAATGCAATCCTGGACTCTAAGTAACGCTTCCCAAAATTGAAATGATTTTGCAAATTTTGCGAAATGGAAAAAAAATAAATAAATAAACTAAAGGAAAATCACAAAGTGGTTACAAAACCCTGATTATTATTCAAATAAGTAATTTCACAATTTACATGAATTTCACAAAATCATATTTTGCTAATGGATGTTTATTTCATGATAAATGTGAAAAGATGGTCACTAGTTGAAGCAAAGAAAAGAAGAGAAAAGAAAAGAAAGTAAGGAGAGAAAAGAAAGGAAAACAAATTTGTCTTTTGTGCTCCCGAGTTGGAGAGAAATGGAAGGAAAGTTAAACATTTTATTCTTTCTTTTCAAATCCTCCCAAATCGGAAGGAAAGTTAGGAGGGAAAGTGATCATTCCACTTCCTTCCTTTAATGAAACTCGGGAGCATCAATCTCTCTTACTTTCCTCTCATTTCCTTTCTTTTCTCTCCTTAAGTTGAACTCGGGAGCGGGGTGTAGATGATAACATACCTTCCGTTTAGGTCATTTTTTTATTCCATTTTCTAAAACGTTTCAAACCATTCTAAAAGTTAATCAAGAATCTCTCATAGTTTATCATCGGTTTTGTAATTAGCTTTTAGTTAAAGGGTTAATCATGTTTAGAAGTATTTATGAATTATGATCACAACTAAGACCCATAAGAACAACCCCAATCCCGGTGCCTCGACAAAGGAAAAAATTCAAATCGGGGCAAAATAAATACAATAATGGTTTTCTATTTTATTAATACATTGCAACAAATTGTTAAATCAACTTTACATACATAAAAGCATATTAACCCTAAGAATATGTCCCAAAATGAGAAAATGAATGAGTTTGATTTTATTTTATTTTTCAATAAAAATAATCTTTGACAATACACAAAAAAACTCCAACAGGTAAAAGAAACTGTGACTAGCTGATGTGAGACTCCAACAATATCCCTAAACACAATTTCCTCACCAATAATCTCCACAAGAACACTCACCATCTTTAAAATGATGAAACCGATTCGCATCCCTAACAACAATAACTCTTTCAGTAATCTTCGACACAAACTTAGTAAAATTATGACAATCTAAACAAACTCTAAGGTTTTTAATAATCCTAATTTCCTCTCCCATTTCCAAATTCATAACTCCAAAAGCAATCGCTAACTTCTCACTATGAACATTCACCATCAACTCCTTCTCTTCCTCTTCAACGTCATGCAATGCAGTGACAGTATCCGTACAAAACCCAACCTCCTTCATCTTCCCCATCAACTTCTCCAACATCCTATAAATTCCATCAATTTGTTCATGAAATTGTTGTCCGGATGTAAACACGTGTGGGATTTTATCAATTTCTATTAAAGTACACCCTGGTGTCTTTCCAAGGTTCCGATTTTTCACTGATTTTCTAATCGAAGCAGCTTCATCAAAATTCTTGTCAGCAGTGTATATATTGGAAAGCAACACATGGTATCCTACATTTTCAGGGTCTAATTCGAATAATTTATCAGATGCTAATTTTGCTAAATCCATGTTCTTATGAGTCTTACAACCACTAAGAAGTGCACCCCACACAGCGGGACCCGGTTCAATTGGCATTTTTTTTATAAAATCATACGCCTTTTGTAAGTCTCCGGCTCTACCATATAAGTCAACCATGCATGCGTAATGCTCGGGTAACGGGTCAAACCCATGGGTTATACCCATACCCGAACCCGAACCAGAACCCATGGTTTGGAAAATGTTTTCTCCTTCTTTTACTAATCCACCATGACTACAAGAGTATAGAATGTTAACAAATGTGACACGTGTTATGGGTACTTTTGAATCTAACATTTTGTTAAAAATATTTAGGGCTTCATGGGCATGTCCATGTAGGCCATAGCCTGAGATCATGGCATTCCATGTGACTGTGTTTTTGTCTTGCATTTTATCGAACACTTGGCGTGCTTCTTTTATGCTTCCACATTTGGCATACATGTCAATTAAAGCAGTTGAGACGTAAATATTGGAAATGAAATTATATTTGTTTGCTAAATCATGAACCCATTTGCCTAAAGTTAGGGCACCAATTTGAGCACAAGCTGAAAGAGTGGTGGTGATTGTTGTGGGATTTGGGGGGATTTTGAGGTTTTGCATTTCTTTAAAGAGGGAAATTGCTTTATCTGTTACTCCATTTTGGGCATAACCAGAGATCATAGCGTTCCATTCTGCTAATGATTTATGTTTGGATTCATCGAATAGTTTTCTTGCAGAATTGATCTCATTGAGGCGAGTGTAAACAGTGATTAGTGCTGTTGAAACTGAAGTTTGGGAGAGGAAATTGTGTTTGATGCAAAAACTATGGATTGTGGTTGTAAGTGTTGAATGAGGAAAAGGATGAGAGACAGGAATTAAACCTACCAGGGTGCTTGAATTGACTTTGTGTTGTGAAGATGATAATTCTTTGAAGAGATTAATGGCGTATTCCATTTCTTGATTACAACTGAATGCAGAAATCATAGCATTGTAAGCGATTATGTCAGGGTGTTTGATCTGATGAAACAAATGCTTTGCTGTTGAGATATCTCGACATTTTCCATACAAGGAGATTAAACCTGTAAGAACATGAAGATGGGAATGGAATCCAAGCTTAATTGATAAACACTCGATTGCCATTCCCAGTTTTAGCTCCTGAAGTTCAGCAGCAGCTTTAAGAACAGATGAGAAAGTGGTGGAATCAAACCGAGTTCTTCTGAGAATCATGTCTTTAAAGATGGATATTGACTCGTCAAGACAGCCATTGTCGACTGACCCTGATATCATAGTGTTACACAACACAGTATCTGGTTCAGGAATTTGATCAAACACCTTGTAGGCATAACCCACCTTCCCGAAATTCAAGTACATGTTGACAATGGTGGACGCAACAAATAAATCAGATCCAGCTCCACCAACAATCGCATGGCCATGAATGGATGATCCTAATTTGCTACACAAAAGTTTTGATGCGGCGGAGATAACAAACGCGTAAGTAAAACTATCCGGTTTAAGAGCAGTGTTTTGGCGGAGTTGACGGTAGATGGACAGTGAATTTGAATGGGAGTTGTTACAAGAGAATTCTCTGATTATAACATTGTAGAGAAAAATGTCGGGGTTTGGAAATGTCGAACCGATTAGGGTTGCATCGGAGATGGCGCCAAGATCGGAGAGTTTTTGAATGAGCTTTGTGACGGTGGCTAAGTCGGACTGTAGGCCGTTGAGGATGATTTGGGCATGGGTTTGACGGAGATGGGATTGCGTGGCGGCGTTTCCGATCAGCTTTAGAAAGAAGTTCCGATCACGTTTTGCTACGGCTCTGCAAATCATCGGTTTTTGGTTTGGCGTTTGGCGGGGGAAATGGTGGTTCAAGCAGGGAAATATTTAAAGTAAAAAGTAAATTACAAAATAGCCCGTTAGGCCAAACTCAATAAAATAAATTACAGAAATAGCCTCTGAAAATAACAATTAATGTCATTTTGACCCAAAGGAACTATTCATTTTGGTTTTAAAAGGTTCTTCCTTCGTATTATTTTTATAGTCTAGGTGTTTCAACTTGCATTTTACCTGCTAAAAAGGTCGTTCGTTTCTTTTTTATCCAATGAAACTGATTCCCAATCAACCATGTCCCTTGACATATGAGCAGTAGTGTGGCCAGTTGGAGCCGATGTAGTAAATTAGCTACCAGTTTACTTTGAGGAAGCTTATTTAATAAGCTTAAACCAAACCATAGAAATGACCAACTTTCCAAGCTCGTTACCGTTATATCGATTTCCTTATATCTTTGATGCACCAAATCAGATAAGAAAGAATGTCGTCATCCACACAAAATTCCAATAAAAGCAGTCAAAACAAATCAAACCTTGTAATACTGTTGTGAAATTTATTGTTCCAAGGAAAAAAAAGAGTATTGTGCACCATCTGATGGTATTGTGCACCATCCCTAACCCCCTAACCATGAAAGGAAGTCTCGAAATTGTCCCAATCTGATGGTATATTTCTTGTTCAAGATTTTTAATTTCTATAATGTTGGAGAATCGACACAAAACTATGAAATTTTAGAAACCCTAACCCTAAATTTTATAAGGGTTACTTTCGATGGATTGACCATCCTATTGAGAACGAATGTTATAGGTATATGATGTTTGGACTGAAATGTGACCTTAACAAAAGGGAGGATCATGGGGGTCAGATCGTACTGAACTAAAGTTTAAGGAGATGGATTTGACAATGGTGAAGGATGAGGAGCTCTTTGAAGCCAAGTTGATTGTCTTGAGGAGTAAATTGAGTCAGCTAAAAACAAAATTGTAGTCATACATGTTCTGGTCATCGATGTCATTTATGCTCTTTTTTCGGCATTATTATTCCCACAGAATGGTACAAAGGGGTAGGGATGTGGGGTTTGGGAAGTGTGCTTAGTAAGTACAAGTGTTGTATAGTTTTGGTGCTTGTTGGTGTAATGGTTTAGGTATGGAACTTTTGGTAGTCTTTGAAAATGCACGAATGGATGTTACTTGACTGCAGTTTATATGTATTGCACATTTTGGCATTCATCATGCTTTTGTGTAACTATAATGAATTGTAAACAATGACACTATAATAGTAATATATCCTTACTTTTTAGTGTAACACCCGGTTTTCAAAACCGATTGGTTTAGGGCTTCAAAGGGTCAAAGGATTGGTTATTGGGTAAAACCAAGTGTCACGACATTACCATAAAAAGGTCACAACGTGACAAGCGATTAAATGAGAATGTTGATTTAGACTGAGCTCATGACGTGAGCAATAGGAGCTCACGACGTGAGATGCGCTGCAGCCCGAGCCTATGATCTTTTAGGGTTTCCTTCGTATTTAAACCCCATAAACTTCATTTTAGAGTTCCTCGACAGCCTCTTTCATCCCTAAGCACAAAAAAACCCTAATCCTAGCCTCTCCTTGTGATTTTTGAGCTTTTGGTGGAGTTTTGATGGCTTAAAGAATAAGAGAACACCATTGGAGCATAGATTCAACTTGGAAGTTCCTTGTGCAACCTCTAGCAACATCTTTGGACCATTGTGAGTTACCAAGATTCAAGCTTTTTGATTCCTTGTTGCTAGATCTAAGGATTTATGCATGTTTATCCATGGATATGAGAGTTAGAGTGTTGGGACTCCATAAAGTTAGCAACTTTATAGGTCCTTATAGTCCCTTGGTGATGATATGTAATGGATCTAAAGTTTGGATGATGTTTAAGTTCATACTTGAGATTTGATCCCCTTTTCTTCATGAATGCCCTAGTTTGAGCTCAAGTCTTGTATTGGACATGCAAGACCTTAAAGCATCGATTTTTATGATCCTTAGGGTGTTAGGAAGCCTTCTGGAAAAGATGGATCAGTGGCTTAATGGATTAAGAAGTTTATGGATCAAAATGTCATTCAGACTGATTTCACGACGTGAGGCTTTAGATGGTCACGTCGTGAGGATCGTGAGCCTCAACTATTTTGTCCCTTAGTGGCTCACGACGTGGGCCATAGATGGTCATGTCAGAGGGGCGGTTTAAATTGTTGACTTCCATTGACCGTTGGCTTTTTGACCAGTTTGACTTTTGGTCAAACTTGAAGGATTTGGGTTGTTGATTAAGATTCTTCCATGATTTGGTGATAAAGGACTCGTGGGAGGAATCGGTGCAGAAGGGAAACGTGTCGCAGTGTTTTGGGTTCTTCGTTTCAGGTGAGTTTCTCCTCATTGTACTCGTGGTTCGAAGGCACCAATGTCGGCCCGCTAGGTTATGTATCCTGGTATATAGGATCAAGGTTGTAGAACTCGTTACTCGGTACTTGCTCGGCCGACTACCGATTAGCAAGTACTCGGGAGTACTCGGATTTGGTAATTCGTGTAGAAATATTTTTATGGAAATTATATATGTCAAAATCATAAGTTAAAATCATAAGTTGATTGAAGTATATAACAAAATTAGATACATGTAAATACACAAAAACTAAAATACACACAATTGTCTCACTTCGTGAATAAATACCGAAATTTTAAGATATATAT